GGCATAAGGTGTGATAGGCTGTGGGTTTGAATTAAGTGTGATCTGGCTCCTTTTGTATGGTTTATGCAGTGAGAGATGGGTAGGAGTGAGATGGGCCAGGAATATCCCATCCCTGTCCGATTCAGCATTGGAGGCTGGGTGAGATACCACAGGGCACCTCAACTGGGAGCAAACAGCCCCTGTCACGCAGCGGGGTCCTGCCCAAGGTCCCACCAGGTCTCTGTCAGCCACAGGCAGGAGCAGCAGCAAGAGTTGAGCTCAGAGTGAAAGCTCAGGCTTTCTTTTATCTTCTCCCTGATCACACAAAATGGTCTATGTAACATGTTTATTATTAATACCAAGGTATTTTACTCTGCATGAGGGAAACAAACCTGCAAGGTTTTTACTGCCATGCCAACCTTGCTCTGTCAAAAGTCACAATCCTTTATTTCTGCACCCTTCCAGCTGCAACTTTTTCAAGCCACTGCACTTCCTATTAGCATGAACGAAGTCAGATGGGCCTCTGCTATCTGCAACGTCTTGTGCTTTCTTTCCTAAGCTCCTCTTTAAACTGATAAACTGTTTCAGACAGTGTCCTTCGCTGTCTCAGTAATGATGGCTGGCCCAGGTTGTATGCTGGTCTCTGGGAGGTGGCTTTACTTGTAGTCACAAAGTTAATACTTACCTGGGAATGGTCAGGATTGTGTTGGTGTACTCTGAAGTGTAATCTAAACTGGATTTCCTGGGTTTGAAATGCTTAGTTTTGGATTAACAATTGCCTGGCAGTGTTTATAACTCTAAACTGCTGATACATGCTTTCAAATATAATCCCAGTTTAATGCCCTTTTTGTCTTGGAATAGAGAGAAGGATTAATAGGAAACTAGCATACAGCAGACATGAGGTTTTACATCATTTGGTGTCTGCAAATGGTACTGATTCAGCTTTTTTTCCTGGGAAACATTTCTGATTCCTCATAGATTTTTGGTTGTGTCAGTATCCCACAGCAAATTTTTTATCACATTAGAAAAATGTGGTAAATGCCATTCTTACGGAGTGACAGTATATAAAATCAGAATAAGAAGAATAAATGAGATAAAACAAAGGAGGTTGTAGGTGCCCTTTGCCTTTCAAAGTAGCTGAAGACACTGATTCATTAGAGTTTATTGCTATGGTAGACGTTTCTCAGTAGCAAGAAACCTGATGGAGGGAGAAGTCTCAGCTTTGCTAAAGGATGCAGTTTCTCCAAAAACCTGAAGACAGAGGCACGTGGAAGGAAAGGAAGGATGAAGACAGGGATGAGTAAGGCAAGCTGGAGCACTTGATTGAATTGTAGCTTTGCACTGGCCCACTGCAAATCCAGGAGCAAATTGCACAGGTGAAGTGAGAGAGTCAGTGTCCTCTCACCAAAACCAGTCATGCTCAGGACTCCATGTGTCTCTCACACACCAAGGTTGGCAATGGGAACTCTGTCACCTTCTGGTGTCACTTAGGACATTTTTGCTTCTTTGTGAGACTTCCACCAGTAAATGTAGCAGATGAAAAGAGCATGCAAAGAGCTTTGCTCTGTGGGGAAAGAACTGTGAAGGGAGCTGGGTTGTGATTTCTGCCTGTGCCTATCTGTAGTACTTCACTGTCACATCATAGCTATATCACTTCTCAGAGGGCTTCTCCTGAGCATCTAGAGTGCTACAAATTCTTTAGATCATGTTACTGTCCTGCAGAGAAAACAAAGGGCAATTTTAACCGTCTTTAGCAGCAATAAAAATGCTAAAAACATTTTGAGAGGAGCACAGCATAATAAAATCTCTATAAAAGCCTTGAAATTTCTCTTGAGACTTACTTTTCTGTGATTTTTCTCATTACCACTGACCACAGATGTGATATTGCTCATGGTAAATAATTTGTTCCATTCATTGTACGTGAACATCTCTCACAAAACATAAAAAGTGAACTTTTAAACTTTTTTTAAAATTCCCAATATAGTGAAATGTATGTAGAAGTTTCTGCATGCCTGGTACCTGTGCTAATTCTTTCTTTTTGGGAGATGAATGCTTTGGTTGGGATTTGGTTGGCCCAAAGGGTGTAGTTCCTCAGCAAAGCAGCTTCACCAACTCCCATACCCAGCTTTCAAGGCTGGTTTAAACCTTTTCACTTTCCCTTTTCAAATGCAAAAAGAAGTGCAAGTAGAAAAAGTGCTCCGTAACAGCTCTCTAGCCCCTATTGTCATTCTTTCAGAATAAAGTAATGATTTTAAGCTTAGAACTGTGTGTTAGGAATGAGTTCTCAGGGGTGAATCATTTCTGAACAAATTTTTGGGGTTTGCTTTCTTTTTGCTTAATATGAATTTCAGGTTTTCAGATTTTTCCCTTTATTTTTTAGCACTTTATATCTTTAATATTCTCTTGGTGCAAAGAGGAGTCTCTGCAGTCTCACTGGATACCCCATGTCAAGATTTGGGTATAAAGCCCTGCAAATGAAAAAGCTGTTGCAATTACCCACCTGAGCAAAGAAGGGATCAGATCACGCCAGATTTGATCTGAACAGTGAATGCTCAGAGGCCCAGAAGCAATAAGATCCAGCAGGGAACTTCTGAGTAGAAAATGTTGCCTTTGCAGAATTATAATTTGTCCCAGGAATCTGGAATGAAAGTCATCTCTGTGCCCCGATAATTAGTGCTCTCTTAAAGCTGGCAGAGGCACTGGGGGCCATGTGTAGGCAGAGGCAGGGAGCTCCAACAGTGGTTGTCTGTGGTGGTCAGGTATGAGATATTTACACACCTCAGCCTGCTTGTTTCCAGAAAAATCAATGGCCAGAATCACTGGAGAAATGGGAGAGGCTTGGAAGAAATAAAAATGCCTCAAGCATTTTAACTTGTCCTTCCTGCAGCGTTAACAATGCTTGATCTGGTCAACAGCCCTGCCTCTTCTAAGCACTATGTTATTGCTGAGAAAGGTAGCCAAGAAGCAAAAAATTCCTAAATTTAATGTTCACCTCACTGCACTGTCTACCAGAACTCTAAATGAAATTACAGTGCAAGTCACTTTATGATCTGTGGGACCAAGGACAGCAGGGTAACCAAACAAGAAAGAACAGGCATACTTAAAAATGGGGGGCAGAAAAACGGAGCAACAGAGGAAGCATAAAGCTACAGGTGATCTTCTAGTCTCAGCTATTGCAGTGTAAACCCAAAGTCATGTCAGTAAAACGATTGGAGCTGCCTCAGGCTACAGAAAAGCAACTGAGATTAGTTTTCTCATACACTTTGGCATTTTCTGTCTCCTGAGGTTCTGATTCAACCCCTGTTTCCTGTGTTCAGGCATTATCAGTCAAATTGGAGGCCTTCTTGGCATGGCCCACTGCTTTGAGATGTAAAATAACTCTTTTGCCTCAGCACTATTTTCTTGTATTATTTGTTAACTCTGTTTCCAAAAGGAGCCTGAAGTCACAGTGGTAAAATCTTTGTGTCTACTGAACTGTAGTTAGTTAAGAGATAAATTATGAGCAAGGAGCTCATGAGGATTCACTTTCTGCTGGCAGAGAAGCTAGTCAGCTATTCTAAGGTTACTGAGGAAACCAATGGAAATGGCCACTGATATGGGGAGAGAATTCTTGCTGGAATATCCTGGTGAATTTAAATTTCATGCACTTGTACATAACCAGGACATCATCAGTGTAAATGCACAGCCCTTGTCTTCTCAGAAGCACAGTTATCTCCTGAACACCAAAAGGACTCTGTGAACAGCAGCACACACTTAGGTCTGTACTGGGTCAGTGTTCCCCTCCTCAGCAACTGGGTTTGTTTGGTACAATCTCATACATAGATGTAGCAACTTGGAAAAAATTCGCTTTGACAGAGTGGAGACTCCACACGTAATTTGCCAGCTTGAGGGAGAAATCAATACATAGTTTGTGCGTTATCCTTTTCAAAAGTGTGTGGAGAAAAGACAGTTCAAAGGCTAGGATTAGTATCCCTGCCAAGAAGAGGTACTGAGAGGATCCAGCTCAGCATGAATATGAAAACTAATTGCTTCAGTTGTTAAATCAGCCTCATCCCTCAGGAAAGTGGCAGCTGGCTGCTGGGATAGTGTTAAAGGCATCAATGGGGGTTCCCCGGAGCAGTGGGCTGCCTCTCTCCAGCTGAATGCACGTTGCCATTCACTTTATCTGGGTGCCTGTGAGCACTGATAAGAAGTGACTGACTGGCATGTTAGGCTTCCCTTGGTTGATTATTTTTTATTGCCTTGTTTGTTTGGGAAGCTGTAGTGCTCTGCTTGCTTTGAGGTCTGAAAGGTTGCTTTCCTCTGTTTGACTGCTGCTTTAGGGATCAAGGCTGCTCTTATCTTATCCCCCAGTAAGGTGGGGGTCGTTCCTTCAGATGCATGAGTTTGCCACTGTTTTGGACTCAGGCTTTTTATTTCATGCTCTTGTTTGGTTTGGCTCTGTTCATGAAACCAGGTTTGTAACCAAGCAGGATGGGCAAAGCCTGCAAGCAGGAGAGGAGCTGGTCAGGGAGCCTGGAACTGGGATAGTCAATCAATCTGAGCTGTCTGGGGACTTGAGCTAGTGGTTATATTACTTCTAATATTAATTAGCAGTATGATGAGATAGGCACAACAGCTGTCACTAGAACAACCTTGCAGAGCAAGTCAGCCAGTGGAGGAATTAAATGGAGATCTTGCTATACCCATGTTAACCTAAAGCTGCCTTTGCATTTAGAGTTACAGTCTTTTTTTTTAATAGTGTGTGTAAGTCTAAACATGACGGGTGCATGTATGTGAGTACAAGCATACATGCAGGACAGGGAAGGCAGCACAATTTAGTCTGAAGCTTTTTACTATAAGCTCCAAGTCTCTGTTTCTCAACAGCCCAAGTCTGTAGTGACTAAAGAAAGTCTTAAGGAACGTTTGTAGGTGCAGTGTAGATAGAGAGGCTGAAAGATGCTACCACATTTTTTTTCCAAAGTAAAGAGGAATCACATCCAAAGAAATATGCATCACCATTTATAGGAATAATTATATTTCTTTTTACCCATAAATAGTAACAGAAAACATTATGGAAGGAAATAAAAAAAGTTAGGAGCAGTCTCCTGGAAGTGGACTTAGCTTTATTTTTTTTAATGAAATATTTTCAGAACTGAATATTTCAGGAAAATTGCTTAGGTAAGAAGTTCAGGACCCTGCACTTTCCATGAAAGCCTCACCACACATCATCCCAAGTAACTAACATGCAGTATGTAAATCAAGGCTTTGGCATGACTCTTCTTTCTGTGTTTTGTGATGGTTCTTCCAAGGACTCCTTTAAAACAAAATAATAACACATGCCATCAAGACAGCAGTTCAGGTTTGCCCAGCAAAGGGTGATCTGAACGACATCTCGCAGCACTTTTTGAAAACTGATGCAGATGATGTTTCTCTTCACCAAGAAGTACATGAAGTATGCCACGTGGTAAGGGGTGAAGCAGACCAAAAACGCCACAAGGTTTGTCACCACGATCCTCTCTGCTCTAGTGATGTGTGTCTGGGGGTTGTCTGGATCTCTGTGCCTTCTCAGGCACCTGACAGTTTGGGCAGTGCAGAACGTCATGGCTGCCATGCTGCCAAAGAAGATGGTCTCCAAGGTGCTGAACAGGCCTGTGTCCGCCCATGTCCTCGGGGAGAAGTTATGGAAGCAGGATGAGATGTCTTGGCCCTTTTCATGCAACCGGGACGTAGAGACTGTCCCCACTGAGGTGCCCAGGCAGACAACAGCACAGACCATGGCAGCTTTCCTGATGGATCTCAGGGAGGGGGCTGTGAAGGGGTGCTGGATAGCGATGTACCGGTCCACGCAGATGCAGAGGGAGATGAGAATGCTGCCATACATGTTTACAAAGTAAAGACTCTCCAAAACTTCGCAAAACACAGACCCCAAGTTCCACTGACGGTGGTAGGAAATGATTTTAAAAGGAAGAGTAAACAACAGCAAAGTATCCAGGAATATAAGGGCTATCATGTAGACTGTAGATTCTGACAGCTTTTTAACCTTAAAAAAGAGTAACAACAGAGCCATCACATTAAACAGCAATCCCAGGCTAAATGTGGGGATATACATGATGAACTGGAACCATTCCACGGTAGCGCTGATATTGCTCTTGTCATGGGTGTCATTCATAACTCCAGGTATGCTGGAAGAGAAGAAAATCACCTTCACTGCAAGGAAGGATGAAGACACAGTACAAAGGCCAGTGAGGTCTCTGTGCCACAGACTTGGAGATGAGATGCTTTTTTTCCCCTCTCAGGGTGCTCTGTACTGAATTGCAGCTCCTGGTAACATGGAGCTGCTCAGTGTCAAAGGGTCTTGGGGCAAACCTGTGCCTGAAGGAGGAGCAGGGATTTCTGGGGTCCAAGCCTCACTTGCACTACCACCTGTTATCCCTAACTGTGCTATGATTTAGTCTAGGTAGAGTATAGATGTGACAGCACCATCCCCTTGGAGTGATACAATCTCTTTGCAGAACCAAGGTAGCAGCCCCTGATTTTGGGGTTTCTTGGATTGTGAGGGCGGAGACAATTATTTGGATCTAATTTCCTGCATCAAGCTATCATAAGAGACCTTGGGAAGCCAAGATCACGAGGGTCTCCCATGTTTGTTAATGTGAAGATCCCACACAACCGTTGCCATCCCCCACCCTCTCCCACTACCCCTGAGCAAAGCGGGACTGTGATTACCTTTGGCCCTTCTACAAACTGTCTAAAAGCAGCAGGCAGGAAGCTTCAAATAGGCTATTTCCAGCAGAAGTTAAGTCATTAGTAGAAGGATGAGATTTAAGAACCCAAGCTTTTGTCTAAATCAGCCAGAGTTACCACAGCAGAGACAGGGTTGAAGGAAACATGCATCTGGATTCTCCTCTGCAAAGAGGGGACTTAAAGTGTGGAGGTACTTACTCTCTGAGCTGGGGTCACAGAGCAATTATCTTCTTTAGAGAAAGGGTGCTGGCTTGATCCTGCACTCAGACTCTCCTGATAAGGACTGGGAAGGTGCTCATTAGTTTCTGCCATGCTCGTCTCAGCTGGAATCACAAATGCAAATGCCCAGGAATACCTCGTCCTTTTCTCCAGCCGGTTCCATGACAGCAAATGTAACCTGTGAATAAAGCCTGTCAGATATCTTTCTGTCAGTGCCCAGAAATTGCTTTTGCCTGCTGTTCTCTAATTGTTATTACTTCAAAACATGAGTTACTAATTTTGATGCAGTTCCATTTCGGACTTGTCAACCAGTTTTCAACCATGCAGTCAAAGTTTCTGTTCTGCAGATTAAGTCATCTGACTATTTCAGAGGTAAACAGTTCCTTGCTGTGGTTTGAGAGTATCAGCAAAAAGGAAATTTATTTCTTTGCTCCTTAAGGACACACTGATGCTGGGTAAATGATTCTGTAAATTACTGGCTCACATGACAGAAGTAAAAAAACCAGTTCCAGAAACCCAGCCTGAGGAGGAGAATGGGAGCAGGCAGGGCTAGGGGTGCAGGGTCGGGTGCAGGGATCCATCTGCAGCTCCTGTTGTGCTGTAGCAGGTACAGGTTTCATTTAGTGTGAAGCACAACCAACCTCCTTGCAGAGCACCACTGCCTGTGAGGTGGGGGGGGTTGTGGCTCAGTGGGTCAGCAGCTCTGTCAGCAGGGCCTGCTCTGCTGCAAGGGACTGAGGGGAGGCTGGGGGCAAATAATGACATTTCCTCGCCCAAATAGCAAAGGACAAGGAAGCCTGAGCTTGTGAAGCACTTGGGGCTCTGAATGGCTGGAGAGGAGAAGCACTCCTTGCTATGCTGCAGGTTGTTCAGTGTCTGGGAGTTAAATCCACAGAGCTGTAAAGGCTTTGGGAGCTGGGTTGGGTCCCTGAACCTCAGAACTCAGGTGGCCCATGACAGACAAGGGGTGACAGTGATACTGCCTAATATAAAAGCATGACCAAAACTTGAACAGCTCCCCTGCTGAGTCACCTTCATGAAGTGAGTCTAGTGCAGGGAGGAAACCTATTACAGAGAGCCAAAGGGAGAAGAAGTTAATTAAGGAATTATTAAAAAGTAATAAATGCTGACAAAGTTCCTTACTTCACTGCCTCCATAGGAGATTTCATTAGTACTTCCCTTTTTCTTCAAACTTGCTCTTAATTTGTTTATTTGACAGTGTGTCCAGGAAATTCTGGGTCTAAAGAAATAGAATTTCAGCTTCTCACCAAGATGTTTAGCTAAGAAAATTCTGTTTATGATTAAAAGCATTTCAGACTAGAGTCTCCCGTGTAGATTTAAAAAAAAAAATCCAAAACAAACAAATAGAAAAAAACATTATTTAAAGCACAAATGCAAAAGGCAGCTTTGTCCAGTCTTTAAAAAAGAGTAGCTATGCTATAAGCAAAACAAGTTATGTAAAATATACTTAGTTTTCAGATCTTGTAGCAAAAGGAAAGCTTTTAAGGCGAGGTTTTGCAATAGTGAAATATTCTCTCTTGTTATCTTACCTTTGGACTGTCTCTAACTTTGGATGTTGAACTTTTCTCCTTCTCAGCTTATAGAATTCTGGAGTCTTGTGTTTTCTTTCAAGGCAGTGGAGTGAACTGCGTATAAAGCAGCTGCTGGTCAGGATGTCAGAAAGCACAAGGTGCTGCTGCTTTTTGTTTTGTTGCGAATTTCCATTACCATATTGGCCTTCCCACACTGTGCCTGCGTGCACGTACTATGTACATAGTGTGTCATACAGCTCATTTAAGGATGCAAATACATGGCTTTGTGGGTCTAACCTCTGCGTCAACCATTAAAATGAGTCTTCAGTAACAGAGAAGGAAATGCTGGCCCTACAGACCTTTCTCCGTTGTTTTTTTTCCTACAAGACATGATTTTATTGATTGTCTGAAACATCCATGGGTAGTGTTTGCTGTCAAAATGTACTTTAAGCTAAATCCTCAGCTATCACTGTCATTGTTTCCCCCCTTTTCATTATATCAAAAAGGAAAAAGAAATTGTTGATTTTCAGTGGTATGTTCAATTCAAGCTGGTATTTTAAAAAAGTCAAGAGTTACTCTTAAATCTGTTTGTACTCCTAGGGAACAGGGAATATACCCATGGAGAGTTTCAGGTGCTGATTTTGTTCAGGGAAGAAGGGGAAAAAAGATATTTTTTTCCCCATTGTACGTGTGTTTGCAATGTTCTTACCAAAAGGGGAAAGAAAGGCCAGAGGTGTAGTTTTGCTTGATCCTCTGCATGCTCCTTAAATACTTGAAAACTGAGGGTTATAGTGGCTAAATTAAAACTGTGCATCTGTGAAAGAGATGGGGGATAGGAGACGCGAGAAGAAATAGTACTTGGGGTTCCCCTATGATATTTTAGTTGCAATTATCCTACCTAAGGAATAAAAAGAAACACCACCAAAGGGAAAAAAACAAGACAGAAGGTTTGAGTGAATAATACCTTATGTCATTCCTCAGCTAGGTTTCACTTCTGTGTATCTAGTGGTGGTTTTGTGACCATGGCTGCTTTCTGGATATTAACAGAAAACCCCACAGAGCTCAGGCAGGTACCACTACCATGAAGAGGCATTTTGGGGGCTGAGCCACCCTGGGTGGTGGGAACTAAGGTTACTGTCAACATGGACATAAACCCAGCTGCCAGAGCACTCTGTGTTCCTGCCCTGGTCTGGGGCTTGCAAATGCCAGTTCTGATAGTGCCACCAAGGCTCAGAGTGGATGTTCTCTCTTCCCTGTTCAAGGTTTTCCTCTCACGCACTTGGAGCTTTCTTTCCTGTTTTACACTCATATTCTGATGCCACCTAAGCACTGTCCCCCTCACCAGGGGCTGCCCTGGGTGTGCTTGCTGCACAGAGCCCTGGGTGGCTGCACATCTGGAGAAAGATGCTTTGAAAAAGAGAGGATGAGGAAGCAGGAATGCCAGGGTTAGGCTAGCCACCACCAGCAATTGGTCTGCTTTTTTTCTCTAGCAATATGTTTGTGAGTTTTTTAGGGAAGAGGATGAGGAGAAAGGGTCAGGAAGGCATGCAGTGAGTCCAAAAGCACTTGGGACAAGGTGTGAGGGCTTCTTTACCTTCAAAATGGAATGGATGAAAAAAGTGTGATGCTGAGGGCTGATGGAGAGGGTAAAATAAACATGAGTGAGCCACATAATGGAGAGGCTGGGATAGCCCATGAAGGGTTCTCAGACTGTTCATTAATAGCTTTCTTGGGATGCAGGAGTGAGAAAGCAGTGGACAGCCAAAGTACCTTTCTTTTCTCGACACAGGTCCTACTTTGTGCTAACGGAATGTGTCTCTTCACAAAGTCCCCAAAACCAAGGGTGGGTCCTTTTTCTTGGAGACTAGGGGGAAGAAGGCCAACTCTACAAATCCTCCTCTGTCCTTGGTGCCTCTGTGCTTGTCACCAATGCCACCAGTGTGTGAAGCACCTTCTGCTTTGTGAGATTGCAGATGCTGAATGCATCATTTGATGCCTTTTTCCTGATGAAGGAGATGGTTCACATGCCTTTTTTTTGCTAGTATGGAGGACTTTGCCATATTGCTCCTTCCACACAGACCTCCCCTTCAGGCCACACACACATCCCTTGGTGGCAACCAGTGAAGCTCTGCTGATTCCCTGTGCTTGCCCTTGAGGCAGATCTAGTCCTTGCAGTGCTGAGCTGTGCCAGCCATCCCTGGGCACTGCTGGTCCACTGCTGTGCCCTGACACTGGACTGCACCAGAGAGCAGTGCTATGTCCTGGTTCCCCTGCTGTCAGTCCTGGCTCTCAGGAACAGTGTCAGCATGGGGCTGGTGCTGCTGTCATCCTTCAGTTTAGTAGGTAAATCAGTAACCATCGCACCACACAGGGCTGTGCAGTGAAGACATGGTGGGTTTTTTTCTTGTTCTAAATCAGTGTCTAAACAGTGAGAAAAATATCTGCTCTGCTTGAAAAGAGAGAGCCTCCACTGCTGTGATCCAAGACTGCCTGCAGCCTCTGGGTGAGCCAGAACTGGGATGAAAAGTCCCATCACTTAAATCTGGTGGCTCTGCAGAACTGTTTGCAATTGAGCTGCTCCATCTCGTGGCTACAGGAGAAATGAGAAACACGGCTTCAGCCCTGCAATATCTCTGTCTCCATCTGCGGTTAGACAGTTTATCCCAACCTGCCCCCACCAGCTGAGCACCGGGCTCCTTGTCCTCGCTGGCTCTTTTTGCTCCACCATCCTCACTGTGGACAGCTCAGGAGCGACAAGCAAGGGAGAGCCGAAAGCTCTGATGGTTATGGGCAGAGAGGGCCAGAGCACAAGAACAGCTGAAATGGAGCTTTTCTGTAGAGGAAGTGACCACAAGTACTGCCTGTATGTCACTGGCGGGGCCGAGGGGCTGGGGGCAGGAAGCTGCTGTGCTGGTACAGCGATCTGACTGCAGGCCTTCTCACTTGTGTTTAGTGTCCTCTGGACAGACCTTGCAGGTTGAGGGAGGCACCAGCAAACCCTGGCTGTTTACCAAGGCCAAGAGTGCCCCAGAAGACAAGGATCCTTTCAGTGCTGGAGGGGCTAAATCTGCTGCCTAGCAGAACGGGTGAGCTGGTCTCACTCTTTGAGCCCTGACATGTTTAGTCTTGAAGTGATCTAGTATTTGTTGAGCAACATGTCTCAGTTTCCATAGAGAAATCAACTGGGGATGCTCCTGAGGCCAGGTAGACATTTTCCACCTCATAACCTTGAGAGTGGTGAAATTTAAAACTGCTGGAGATCTCTCTCTTATATTGCTTCTTTTGCACTTTCAGTAGTTCTCCAGCTCCGCACAGCAGGTGTTCAAGCAGGGCTCATGCACCCCAGCCAAAGGCCCTATGCCTATGCCTCTCCTCTGCCTAACGATGGAATAATTTTGACAATTCTAAAGCATTTTTTTCCTACTCAAACCATTAGCTATGCTGGTCTTCAAGATATCATGACCTTTGAAAGACTTGAGGCAGCAATTTTGCAAATTATCTCCTGACAGATCATGCAAACCTCAAAACCATAAGACCGCCCTGTCATGACCGGATGGGTACTTCAACTGTAATTTTTCAAGGTGGGAAAAAAATCAGTTACTGAAGGTGATCAAGATTTCATTTTATTTTTCACCGTTTTGAATAGCACATAGAACTCCAGGAAAGTAACTGTGTAACTGGACCTTCTTCCCAAAAGGCACTTGTATGCATTTTGAGCCAATTAGGCTGCTCATATGGTCAAGGAACTGCAATCTTGTGGGGTGCACACATTCTGTGAGGACCACAAGAGT